CAGGGTCTCTCTATAGACCCTGTCCTGGAACTCACTATGTAGGCCTACTGGTCTTAAGCTCACAGAGATGTGCCTGCCTCTGCCTCTCAAGTGCTGATTATTTTAACTTATAAGATGGTCTTAAGCACTTGGGGTTTTTTGTTTTGTTTTGTTGTTTGTTTTGTTTGAGACAGGGATTCTCTGTAGTTTGGCACCTGTCCTGGAACTCACTCTGTAGACCAGGCTGCTCTCAAATTCACAGTGCCTCTCGAGGGCTGGGATTAAAGGAGTGCCCCACCATCCCCCAGTAGACCAGGCTGGTCTTGAATTCACAGAGGTTCTCTTGACTCTGCCTCCCGAGGGCTGGGATTAAAGGTGTGCCCCACCATCCCCCAGCTAGCACTTGGATTTCTTATTTCTATCCTGGCAGATTTTATTGTTGTTTTGTTTACTTTCTTTGCTTTCTTGTGTTGTGCTAAGGACTAACCCCAGAATTTTGAGCAGATGGCAAAAATGCTGTATCAGTGAACTGTGTCTCTAATCCTTTTTCACTTTTTATTGAGACAAACTCTTACTCAGTTGCTGAGGCTGACTTTGAACTTATTTTATAGCCTAAACAGGCCCTGACTTGGGATCCTCCTGACTTGGCCTCTGGAGTAGCTGGCATTAAAGGCCTGTACAGGTAGGCTCAGCTCAGAATTATGTCTTTAAGGCTGACAAGGCAGCTAAAGACAAAGAGGTAAAATATTTGAGTGAGATTTAGGGATGCAGCTTTAAACTGTTTGCTTAAAAGTTGTTCAATTTTGTGATGTTACTGAATCTTCCCTTTCCCCTGTGTAATGTGGAAGAAATTGTAGCTTTCCTTCTCAACACAATATTGAAAGGTAAGCAAGATACTAACAAAATAAAGCCATTATTGTCCCCCCCCCCCAAGATTTTTTTCCTCAAGTAAAGTCCCATGTTGTAAGTGATAGTCTCAGGAAGGCCAGACAGGGCCCAAGAGCATGATCATGTGACGGGTTCACCTCAGACCACTCACCGATTGAACCTGGAGTTGCAGGTCATTTTTCTCTTTGAGGAGAGTGACCATCTTTTCCTCCAGCTCCTTCCTCTTTGCCTCTGACTTGGCGAGCTCCTCTTTGGTTTTCTCAAACTCCTCCTTCATGTTGGCCATCTCCTTCTCGGTCTCCGCGCTCTTCAGCAGGGGTTTGATCTTGAAGAAGAGCTTCATCCAGGGCCAGTGCTTCACATTCATGAAGGCGCGGACATTGTACTGGATGCAGAAGATGGACTCTCTGGAATATGGGAGAAGGTGGTGTAATTGATCCATTGGCAGCAATGTGATCGAAATTTCTTGCAGACAACAGGCTTTTCCTGTACCGACACTTGTGCATTCTCACAATCAGAGTTAGTCCGTAGTCCTCAGTGTCAGCTACTTTGCTAATATGAGCGTGATTCATAAGGAGCAATTGAGTGTGCTCAGTCCCTGGTGATCTGCCAAAGACAGCCTGAGTCTGGAGGGCACAGACTGTACTGTCTGAGAGACCCCTGCTGCAGAGAGAGCTCACACATAGGAGAGTAGTGACTAGGAGGGCATGGCCATTGTAATTGAATTGTGCTGTCCTGCTGCTGCCGTACAGCTACGAGCTGCCAGCCGAGGATTTGCCTCCTTTCAAGTTCAGCCACTCTTCAAATCTTCCCTCTTTCCATCACCTCTGGGATAGTCGCACTTCCCTTCTTAGTGTCTCCAGATAACATACTGGCTTTTCTAAATTCTTAGGCCTGTCAGTTCAGTAAGTTCGTTAACATCGGAAGGCAATTTTTTTTTTGCAATGATTAAGCTCCAAAATTGTTCCATTTAAATAAAAAGTTGAAGTAGTAATATTGGGACAGGATTTCAAAATGGTAGCAATGGGTCGGCAAGGTTTGGCTGGTTTATAGGAACATGTAGGCATTTTTTTTTTTTTTTTTTGGTTTTTCGAGAGAGGGTTTCTCTGTGGTTTTGGAGCCTGTCCTGGAACTAGCTCTTGTAGACCAGGCTGGTCTCGAACTCACAGAGATCCGCCTGCCTCTGCCTCCCGAGTGCTGGGATTAAAGGAGTGCGCCACCACCGCCTGGCCTTACATGTAGGCATCTTTAAGTTGATTAGCATGCAGGTTTTATTTCTATTAGCTCAGTTTCTAGGAATTCTGACTCTGAGAAGGCAGATACCATGGCACAAGCTATGATAAAGATCTAATGCTAACCAAAAAAATACAACTGAACAAAATGAGCAAAATGTGGGCATGGCTAGTAGCTAGAGCAATGTGCAAAAATATTGTGTAAATAAATTGTTTGAAGTTAATTTGGAAAAGAAGAAACGAACTTGTGACTAGGTAGATATAAATGATGGACAAGGTCTGCACAGACAAGAGAATAGGAGGTGAGCACAAGAGTTGTCTAGCATGACCGGGAAAGGGTGTGTGGTTAGACATGGGAGATATGATAGAACATCTTTGCTATGGTATTATATCATGAAAGACATAATAGAATAGAAGGTCCTGACAGCCAAGCCAAGCAGCTTGGATTTGGCGTGGGATCCCACGGGGAGCTGGGAACAGAGACAAGGGTGATGAAAACTGCTTGCTGCAGAGTGTTTTTGTGTGTGAGCTGGATGGGGAGTGGGCCAGGAGAGAAGTTCTGGGAAGCGGAGCCTAAAGGGCGAACCTAAAGTTGACATGTTATAGGGGTGAAAGCTCATGCTAATTGAAGAATGAAAGGCTCAGTGCATGGGGAAGGCTGATGGAGAGTCCCCAGGGACCCCTATGATCCCACTGCTGCTCCTAGCTGTTACCTCCTCAGCAGCATCTTCTGATACTCGACTCTCATTAGGTATCCCCTACAGACCGCTTGCGTTCTTGTTATTATCTGGGCCAGCTTTTCGTCTCTCATTTCTTCCAGGAGACCCAGGAGGCCAGCTTTGAAGAAAACCTGGGGAAGCAGAAAGTCACGAGTCATCCCCGCACTTCAGCAGGCACAGGAAGGGCTGCGGGTCCATGGGGTCAGGAGTACAGGAGTCGCGGCCATACCTTGGTATGTCCAAATTTATACTGGGTGTGGTCGATATCAATAGAGCCCAGGAGCTTCTCCGAGGCCTTCTTGCTGTCGATGAACTGTCCCTCTGGTATGGCACTTGCGTTTAAAACTTTGTATCTGTTGCATCAAACACAGAAGGAATGGTCAGAAAGGGGCTATCGCTTGCCCAGTGGCCACCAGAAAAAAAAATTTATCGGTTTAAATCCCAAAACAAAAATGTAAGTAGAGATCTAATGGTTATCGAAGATCAGGTAGTGACCCAGCCTATTACTCTATCCTCTATCACAGGACTGAATTGTTTGACTTTTCATTTGTATAACGATGCTAAGTAGGAGACACAAACTGTAATAAGCAAAGCACAGCAACTCGGACGATAAATACTCATAGCCTTCAGCATCTTCCAGCCAAGGGGACCGACCTCTGTTTGAAGTCCCCATACAGGATCCTGCTGGGGAAGCCCTTCCGGCAGATGCGGATGCCTTCCAGCACACCGTTACACCTCAGCTGGTGCAGGACCAGTTCGTGCTCCATGGCCCCTGCAAAAAGAGAAAGGAGTTAAGTCCCGGATGCTGAACTTTCAGACGGAGCCTAGTTTGTTATCAGTGTTCCGTGTCTTACCGGGGGTTTTAGTTTCATTGGGGATGATGCACCGCACAAAGTGAGGGTGTGTGCTTCTCAGGTTGGTCATCAGTTTGTTTAAGTTTTCCTAGAAAGTGAGACAGAAGGGTCTTGAGAAAGTTGTGTTTTGAGTTTCTTTTTTTCTCTTGGCGGGGGAGGTAAAAATTACCCAGCACACTCTTGGCTACTGGACATTGGCGTATGAGGCTTTAGTTGCTATGTATTTGGAAGGCTTCAGTATTTAAGCTGCTAAACAGCCAGAAAGTCAAAGTATTGGAAATAAATGCGGATTACCAAGGTATCCATTGTAACACCTAGGTCCAGATAGCAAAGCCAGTCACCTCCATACACAGACAGAATTCTCAGCCAGCACCAGAAAACAAAGACTGCAGGCTCCCTAGGGAGTCAGCTGATGCTGTGCCCTTCTATGTCTCCCTGGGCCTCATCTGAAAATGGTGAAGATGATCTCTGTGGCCTTTTTTGTTTTCAAGCACTCATGATGTTCACCTTAGCTAGCAATTCTCAGTGAAAACTTGGGTTAGCAGTCATGCCAACCTGTGCTCTTCCTTCCTTCCTTCCTTCCTTCCTTCCTTCCTTCCTTCCTTCCTTTTTTAAAATCATTCACAGTGTCTTCTAATTTCTTGTTTTGTTGTTTGGAGAGTGTAGACATGTGAGGCGGTATAATTTTGTGTGGGTGGATCTTGGGTGCCTGAAAACATTTTCTATCTAAGGTACACGGGGGAGGGGTTATTCTGAAAATGAAGTAATTGATTATGACAGAGAATGTTTCACTTATCCATAGAGAACACACAGTCTCTCACTTACGCTTTTTTCGCATCCAAGTCACTAGAAAATCAAAACAAACAACCTGGATAGCTAAGCCCAAAAAGACCTTTACAGACAAGTTGACAAAGCAACCATCTGTCTCGCTGGATAATACAGATCAGAGTGAAATGGAAAAAGAATAGGAACAAATTTCCTCGGTAGGTCACACCTGCATTTTAGTTAGTAGCAATGAGGCATGAAAATCCTCACAGGCAGTCCCCAGAGTAGACATCTTACATGCTCCTCTCAAGAAGAGCCTTGCTGCAAAAGAATTATAACTGCATTATGGAAATGTTCATGGATGTAATGAAAAAGTGACACTATTTTGTAAATAGAAGTTTTATTCTTTTGTAGTTAACCATCCATTCAGGTCACTAGACTTGGTTTCAGGGGGCTTTCATCTTTTCTAAAGATGTCCAATCCATCTCAGGGTAAAAGGTGTTTTGGTGAGAGAATCTTCTAAAGAATGTATCTCTTGTTCATTTTCAAAGGAAATTTGAACCCTGGCAAGGTGGCACATGAGTCTGAGGTAACAAGTTCACAAGTTCAAGGTCAGCCTGGCCTACGTGGGACGATCCTATCCCAAAGAAAACAATGGGAAACTCAAGAACATCCTCAAATGATGCTGTCAATGAGACAGGAATGCAGCCATCACAGGGATAACATTGAGGGTCAGAAGTGCTTCCTTTAAAAGCATCCTCATTATTGGCATTTAACGTGTGTGTGTGTGTGTGTGTGTGTGTGTGTGTGTGTGTGTGTGTGTGTTGTGCCCAAGAAATCCTAAGGACATGTGGACATTCTCAAATGCTTCAGATAATCGTAATAAGGAATAAAGAATAAAGCACCCATCCCTACCCAAGTATGGCTTTAGATCTATCCTGATGAGAGTGAATATCTAAAGTGATTCCCATCACCATGCCATTCCCTCCTGATTTATTCTAAATCCTATACTTACAATCCACAGAAACTGAATATATTTTTCCAGTTTAAATTTATACTTTACCCTGAAGAGAGCTGACACAGTTTGGAAAGAAGAACCCTTCTTCTTAGCCCCTTTTTTTGCACCAGCATCTGAGATGAAAAGAAACCCATCAATAGAATAGACTCCCAGAGGCCAGAGCAGTGTAGGAACATTATAGGGGAATAGTTTGATTAGATGAGGGACATAGAAAGTACCTGCTTCAGCGCTGGCATAGGTGGAGAAGAGGCCGGCCAGAGTTTTCATGGCTGACTTCTGGTACAACCCCACCACGGTGTCGTTCAAAGGGTCCTTGTTCTTGTCCAACCAACCAGTGATGTTGTAGTCCACGGTACCCGCATAGTGAATGAGGGAGAAGTGGGCTTCAGCCTTGCCTTTGGCTGGCTTGGGCTTCTGGAAGTTGTTGGACTTGCCTAGGTGCTGGTCGTACAGCTTGTTCTTGAAGGAGGTGTCTGTTGCCTTGGGGAACATGCACTCCTCTTCCAGGATGGAGAAGATGCCCAGTGGCTGAATTCAGAAAAGGAGACCTATGTCAACCTCACTCTTCTCAATGGGTGCAGAATGGTGGCTGCCATTTGATTTATAAGCACCACCAATTAATTTTAAATGCAGAGTAAGTCAGGCTTCGTCCTCAAATGTCCCTTTGTTGTTCCTAGAATGACTTTCCCAATAAATCATCTCTCATTCAATCTGTAGCATTAGGGTCAGTTAAAAAAAATAGCTGGACACAAATCCCAAGGAATTTGTAGGTAATTTGTTAAATGCTTTTTATTATAATACTTCCCCCCTGTTAAATGAATAAATTTGTTGCCAGCATTTTATTTTACTTCAAAAAGGATGTACTGGAATTGGGAAACTAGCTCAGTGGGTAAGAGTGCTTGCTGTGTAAGAGCCCCCATAAAAGCTAGGCGTGGCCATGTGCCTATCTGTAGCCCCATTGCTGTAGGGCAAGTAGAAGGTCACCAGCCTAGTAGAGGCCTGGTCTCAAGAGAATGCAGCAGAATGTGATAAAATAAGATACCTAGCATCCTTCTCAGGTATCCACATGTGCACAGATGTACCTGCACGTGTTTGAGTGTGTACATACACATACACGCGCACACACACACACACACTTCTGTCTGAGAATAATATTTGACTCCATGCACAGTAAGAAAAAAACAGTATAAATAACCCAAATACTACTTAAGATATTTTAGATGTTTAGTCTCCCTAAATATAGATTATTAAGGAGTACAAGCAATTTGACCTCTTGGTTTCTGGTTTGCTGACTGTATTGTCTCTGCATCAGTTTTTATTTAGGAAAGCATTTATTACGGTGAATGACTTCCCGGACTATGATGGAGGCAGATGAAAGCTAGTGAGAGCTGTTCTAGTGAAGCCGAAGGTCACACATGGAGTGTTCACAGCTGCCTTTACACTGGATATGACTCAGGATTAGGACCCAATGGGGGAGGAGCTAAATGAAGCTAGCCCCTTCTTCATGTAGAAGTTGTGAAGAGGAAGTGATTTCTAAATAGTGTTCTTCCAGTTTGTTTGGATCTCAGGCGACAGTAATGCTTTGCAGGACATCTGAGAGTCATCCTCACAGACAGACCCTTCCATCAAAGCTACACAAACCTTCTCGATGAGCTCGATGCAGGCGGCCAGGTCCATCCCAAAGTCGATGAACTCCCACTCGATGCCTTCCTTCTTGTACTCCTCCTGCTCCAGCACGAACATGTGGTGGTTGAAGAACTGCTGCAGCTTCTCGTTGGTGAAGTTGATGCACAGCTGCTCCAGGCTGTTGAACTACACAGAGAAGTAGAGATTTCTAGGTTAAGTGCTTATTCATAGGAGCAAAATCTGTTAATGGTAATATTCCTTATGGGGAATAATCTGAACAGAATGATGAGGTTAAACTTAAGTATTTACGCTAATTGCTGTTGGTTCAACATTCCCAGGGATAAATACCTTTCTCATGAAGGCTGGACATTCTTTAGGTTCTCATATATCAATTATACTACAATTTTCCTTCCTTCCTTCCTTCCTTCCTTCCTTCCTTCCTTCCTTCCTTCCTTCCTTTCCTCTCCCTCCCTCCCTTCCTTCAATTCTTCCTTCTTTCAATTCTTCCTTCTACTCCCTCTCTTCTTCCCTTCTTTCCTGCCTTTCTTTTATCTTCCCTTCTTTTTTTGAGACAGAGTCTCACTAAGTAACTCTGGCTGTCCTTCAGTTCACTCTATAAACCTGGCTGACCTGGAACTCACAGAGATCTATTTGTTTCTGCCTCCCAAGTACTGAGATTGCAGGTGCGCACCAGCATGCCTGGAGAACCAACCTTCCACATTTTATTCATCATCTGTCTGTCTGTCTGTCTGTCTGTCTGCCTGCCTGCCTGCCTACCTAATATACTACAGTTCTAACAGAATCTACTTTCTTTTCACCTGTGAAAATGCAAAGACAAGAATGTATATCAAGGTACAAGCATGGCCCTGTGCTTTATGATTCTGATGCAGAAGAGAATGGGAAAGTGATTTATTAGAAAAGCTTGCTAGCAGAGGTAGAACGCTCTATTCTCAACTTCTAGGAGTGGTTGGCACTCTTATCTTTGTCTGTCATGTTATTAAAGAAACCTTATGTTAAGACATTTAGTTGATGTGTAAAATGGAATGGACGGTTTGGTTTCTTTTCTGTTGACATCAGGTAACCCCCTTGTCTGATCCATGGAAGCAGAGATCTGGTGCGGAATAGTAGTTGAAGATCTGAGGGTCTTTGCAACCATTTACTCTCTCTTTACCCAGGATAAAGCTGAAGCCTGGACTTGAAATAGTTTATATGATGTTAACCTGGAAGACAAGAGGCCAGCACCTATGGCTGGGCTCCTGCCTCTGAGCTTTCTCCCTTCCATGCCCAGGAATCAGTGTAAGATGCCAATTGCTGCAGACAGATTCTATCTTGGCTTTGTGTTACATGCCTGTGGAATCTTTAGCACATTTGATTTTCATTGTATATTCAATTTCTGTTGTAATAATAATAGTAACATTTACTTTTCTTCATTGAAGGTTTAACGAAGCAACATTTTGAAGTTCCTAGAATTATATCAAAAATATACTGACTTTTCAATAAATTTAGTTATTATTGTTATTATTTTTCTATTATCTCTTAGATATTTGGGGGGCAAACTCTTATACTAGGCTCAGTGTTGAAGCAAACAATATGAATAATATAAATGATTATCACTTAGTGCATCAAAATTCCAAATTGTGTCCCTCAGTTTTCATTAATGTGAAGATAACTTACATCAAAGATCTCAAAGCCAGCGATGTCCAAGACCCCGATGAAGTACTGCCTGGGCTGCTTGGTGTCCAGCTGCTGGTTGATGCGGGTGACCATCCACAGGAACATCTTCTCATAGATGGCTTTGGCCAGGGCGCCCACTGCATTGTACACCTTTGTAGATACAGTGATAATTGTTAGCATTATTAAGCCGTGCCATGTAGACCTCAGTGTGCTTCACAGAGGGCATGCATTTACCTGCTGCACCGTCTGGCCCTTGGTGACGTACTCATTGCCGACCTTGACCCTGGGGTAGCACAGGGCTTTGAGCAGGTCAGCAGAGTTCAGGTTCTGGAGATAGGCAGCCTTGTCAGCCACTGTGGTGACACAAACCAAGAAATGTTTAACATTTAACATTTATCCTCATCCCTTTGTCTTTCTCCCATTTAATTACTCTGCTACTTAGATTTAAAAAAACCTTAAATAATTTCAGATAAAATCAAATAAGATTCTTTGTTATGTATATTAAGGCACCTGGTTGCCATTGAGTGGTTGATCAGAGTGACTTGTTGCAAGTAGGATTTGAGAACATTTTCATTAACCACAAACATGTAAACAGTGCTTATTGTGACTCTGTGACATGGTCCCTCCCTGTAAGACTTCAGGTATTGCCGGAAGAGTGAGACAAACATACCATGACATTCACTGTTAAGGGAGGAAAAAGAGGCTGAGGACATGGACTCTTAGGCAGCTTTTACCTCTCTCCATTTAACCTGACTAGACCAAAGGTACTTACTTTTTTATCTGAAAAAGTGGGGGTTAATTAAACTGGGTGATCCTCTCTAAAAATATGCGTAATGCTATGTGTTGGTCTCGAAGGAAAAGTCGGGAGAAAACCGAGGGAGAAGGAAAAAAGGAGAGGTAGAAGAATGTCAGGCTAGGTTGGTTGGGGAAGGTTTGGGGGCAGGGGAATAACTGGGTGGTGGTTCCTGTGTACTGAACGCTTTTTCATATGTGGAGCACATGATTTTTCTTTGTCCGTTTCCTTTGTATCTTTCTTGCTTGCTGGCCTGGAGGGATTTACATGTAGACAGCACCTACATACATACAGATGTGCCTAGGAGCACCCTTTACCTCTCACTCTCTGCAAAGATTCTCTACTTCTAGCTCCTAGGCTTTCCTGGCTAATGCTAAAACAATATGTAAATCTGTTGTATATGCCTACCTCCCTTTGCCAAGACAAAGCAGAGATATTACTTCACCTCATTCTGTCTCCAGTTCCCCGGCCCTTGGTTGAGCTTCTATGTGGCCGTTGGGGTTAGGGATAGCTTATTTGAATCAGCAGTGATGATGAGGTGATGGAGAATGAGAAATGAGGTGGATGAGGAAGGCATGTGTATAAACAAATGTGCACTCGTCTTCGGAAATGCAGTCACAAGGAGACATGAGTTTAGGGTGGACGTCCAAGTGTTTCAATTCAAAAATTCTGCTATTCAAACCCAGTTAGATGGTCTTTGGGTACCTTCAGTGCCATCTGGCTCAGCTTGCTCCTCACGCTGCTTCTGCTTGAACTTCATGTTCCCATAATGCATCACGGCCCCTGTGAGTTTATAGATGGACACTTTCTCTTCGGATGAGAAACCCAGAATGTCAATGGCACTCTACCAGGAAAGATGAAAGGGCAGAGGTTAGGGTGGAAGACATTATTTATGAGAATTTATAATATACACGGAGACAAGCACACCTATGTAGAGTTTGCTGCTGCCATTTCCATACATAACTGGCTTTAAAAAATGTTTGTATATGTCATGACTTACATCTGTGGCCATCAACTCTTCTTGGTCATCAATGCTGGGCACTGTGATCTCCCCCTGACTGACAAAGGCGTAGTCATATGGGTTGGTGGTGATCAGGAGCATTTCTGGGTACACAGAATGAGGGGTATATGTTTTTTTTTTAATTTCTGCCTCCTTCCCACCTCCCATTTATGTTTTAACATGAGAAATTGATAATACAAACTTTAACTTCCATCCACAAATTTAAGTTCTCACCAATTAGTTCTGGCTTCTTATTGGACGTGATCTGGTAGAAAATGTGGTAGCTCCTCTCAGCTTTTAGCTGGAAAGTGACTCTAGACTTCTCCAGAAGATCTGGAAAGAAAGATATTGAACTAGAAAAAGATTTATTCTTTCGACATACTGTAAACTTTAATCTCCAAAACTGGAGATGCTACATTTGGCTCCAGTGAGGTTTCGTTATGATTCTCATTCTGCGGTTGCATATTAGAACTGAAACGTACATGACAGCTGGCATGCACCTTTCCGTGTAGGCACGGCCACTGAAGCACATCCCTGGGACAAGTTTTAAATGGGAATCCATGATCTCTGTGTGTTAGCTGACTTCTAGTGTTCCCGGATCACTTCACACCATCTGTGGTGAAAGTCTACCTTGGAAAGATATATTTACCAAATCATAGCCCACTCATAGGTAACCATGGGGGTAGAAATTAGAGTTGATCTTGAGGTTTGGAAGTTTTCTGAAAGATGAGAAGGTACCACCAGCCTGAGATTGAGGTACGGGGTACAGAGAGTGAACTGTGAGGGAGTCTGACAATAGCTCACAGACAACTCTGGTGGTAGACTCTTTGCATAGAAAGTGTTGCAGAATGCCCCTGCAACCAAATTGGCTTGCTTCCCCAGTTAGATTTTTTAACAGGCTGTTACTCACATGTTTCAATATCTGCTGATGCCAGTTTCCCGGTGGTACCAAAGTGGATTCTAATAAATTTGCCCTGGAAAAGATAACGATGTTTTTAGTACTAAACATTGAAGCACACAGAGGTAAGCACCTGAAATATTTTGATATGATGACCATAGCAAGTAAAGATAGAAAGGGTCGGTCCCTTTGTGACCAAGAAACTTACGAAGCGAGAAGAGTTATCATTCCTCACAGTCTTGGCATTCCCAAAGGCCTCCAGAAGGGGATTGGCGCTGATGATCTGATCTTCCAGAGTCCCCTGCAAGGGAAAGATCAATCCTTGTATCTGGAGATCCAGACTTCTAGGCACCCCAGCAGAGTCTGGATCCTTGTTCTAGCTACCAAACCCACCTGCATTTTGCCAGGCTCTTCCTTCTTCTTCTCCCCAGTGACTGCAATGGTGGCAAAGTACTGGATGACACGCTTCGTGTTCACAGTCTTCCCGGCCCCAGATTCTCCACTGTCAAACACAAGGGAATGGAGATCAGAACTGTGGCACATGCCTGCGATGGTTGAGACAGACACTGCCTACCAGAAAGAAGAAGAAAGTCACGTACGTGATCAGGATGGACTGATTCTCACGATCTGTGGAGGGAATAAAGACCACCAGTCAAAACAAAACAAAGTGAAAAGCTATG